CTGTTTCATGGCATTAACTGGTACAGAATGATGCAGCTCAACTTTATTTTATTTTTATTGCACTAGTAGCTCGATTTTTTAATTTTTGGACAGTAGGCTGACAGGAAAGGGGATATGAGAGAGGGGGAGAGACATGCAGCAAAGGACCATAAGTTGGATTTGACCCGGGTCGGCCACATCGAGGACTAAAGCCTCTATTTATGTCTATTGTGCGCTAACCACTGTGCCACCGAAGCACACCCCCAGCTTGATTTTTAACTGGTAAAAATAAACCTTAGCTCAAGTTTTAGCATCCCTCCATTAGCTGTTAAATCTCAAATCCATTTAAAGAAAACTCTATTACTCTTAAGTGCCAAAATGGGCTGGCCCCTTCTCATTAATTTGTACTGCTCCACTCCTACACAACTGTGTGGTTTCTTAGATCTGCACACCAGATAATTTTATCTGTCCCAAAGTCTTGTTATAAACATAGATGAGGCAGTTTTTGCAGTTCTGGCTCCTAAGATGTGGAATAAACTGCCACTGGTGGTCAGATAGGCTCCATCTGAAAACAAACCTTTTTCTCATTGGCTTTTAGCCCAGTATATTTTTTCTATCTCTCAAATGTACTTGTTTTGTGCTTCATTTTATATGCATCACACTTTTCAGCTTCTATGTTGTTATGCTCAAGAAACACATGATTACATAGTTTACTTTTCATTTTGAATCAGCTTTTAACTGCATTTTGTGGACTTCCTGATAGTAAAGAACTAAAATAGTCCAGCCTTGAAGTCACAGATAAATGGACTAGTTTTTCAGCATCACCCCTTGATATTTCTAATTTTGCGATGTTCCAGGGATATAATACGAAAAGGCTACTAAGATTTAAATGAAAATTCCTGATCAAAAATAATACAGAGGGTTACTATTGGGGGCAAATATAATCCCATCCAGATGTAGTGACTATTTAGGTTCATTTTTCAAAGACTCTAGTCCACAGACCATAACTTCTGTCTAAATTAAAAAAACATTTATGGACAACTGCAGCTTATATCAGCAACATAACAGTGGAAAAGAATCCACTGCTGTATTGATAATTCTACCAATTAGAAGCATAAGCAGATGAGAATTGGCCCTAGCACAGAATTCTGGGAAATTCCACAAATAATCCTAAAGCTTTAAGTTGTTTTATCAATAACAAACTAAAATCTGTTGTACAAATAAGATTTCAACCTGCCTATACCTGTTCCTTTAATACCTATTGCAGAGTTTTCCAGGCCAAGGACGCCCAAACTAATGGCGAGATGGAGTGGGGATCCCCTAATTTTATATATATTGTATGAAATTATGTTATATCAAACTGGTCCTATAGTCACTCTATTACATATGGAGTAATGTAATGAAAGTAATTTCTCCCTGGGATTATTAAAGTATTTCTGATTCTGATTCCTGGTTGATTGGACAGGTGTTGTGAATGAAACGGTGCCCAGCTTGAAAGAGCTCCTGTGTGTCGCTGAATGTGTGCATTGATGACTGAAAGACATCTTCTGCCTCCATTTATCTGTTTACTACAGTGTGTTGAATTCATGTTAATGTGGATTTAAAGACATTTCAATTAGTGGAAAAATTGCGAGGGGGGAATATAAAAAAAAAAAAGTCTAATCAATCAAAACTTTCGCGACCCCCATACAGTACCTCAGTGGACCCCCTAAGGGTTGCAGACCCCCTGTTGAAGATCTCCGACCTATAACATCTTTATGACTTTCTAAAAGAATATTGAAGCAAACTTCCAAGAGCTTTTCATGCTTTATGCGGGATATTTTCTGACAAGTCTAAGTACCTTTCCTCTCTACCTGTGACCACAGTGTTACTGAGCTTAACTGACTAGAAAAATCCATGTACAGATTTTATGCTGTATTATAAGAAAGATCAGGGACACCAGACCAAACAATGAAGGTGTCGCCTTCAAAGCATCATGGGCTAAAATTACACCTCAGTGGAACCAAAGGCTGTTTTCCTCCAAAGTATTCTGCCATTCAGAAGCTCTGAGCAAGTATTCAATACAAAGAAATGCATGGGACGATTAGAAATATAATTCATGAAAGATCTATGCTATTATTGCTCTACACTATACTATTGCTCTCTGAAACTTTATTTCATCCATTTCATAATTCCACTTCTTTATATAGGCAACAAAACATTTATGTTTTACCTTTTTAAAGATGTGCCTACAAAAATGTCTTAAGGTTTAAACACGTTTGCAACAAAATTCATTCATTCTTTAAATCATTGAAGCATGGTTCAGAGGACACGTCTGACTTTCATTTCTTTAAAAATATAATATATATTTTTTTAGTTTTTTATTACTTTTGGTAAATTTAAGTTTTTACTGTGACCTTTGTTTGTTTCTTTCTTTCATTAAATGAGGGGTACCAACAAATTTTCCTTGATGAAAAAATGCAAATTCAGGTAGTCACATAGTTTGATTTTTTAAAGGCAAATTTTGAAAATAATTGTATTTGTATATACAGTACAGACCAAAAGTTTAGACACACCTTTTTATTGAAAGAGTTTTCTTTATTTTCACAACTATGAAAATTGAAGATTCACACTGAAGGCATCAAAACTATGAATTAACACATGTGGAATTATATACTTAACAAAACACTGTGAAACAACTGAAAATATGTCTTATATTCTAAGTACTTCAAAGTAGCCACCTTTTGCTTTGATTACTGCTTTACACACTCTTGGCATTCTGATGATGAGCTTCAAGAGGTATTCACCTGAAATGCTCTTTCAACAGTCTTGAAGGAGTTCCCAGAGAGGCATAGCACTTGTTGGCCCTTTTGCCTTCACTCTGCGGTCCAGCTCACCCAAACCATCTCGACTGGGTTCAGGTCTGGTGATTGTCTAGGCCTGGTCATCTGGCACAGCACCCTATCACTCTCCTTCTTGGTCAAATAGCCCTTACACAGCCTGGAGGTGTGTTTGGGGTGCTTAGCTGCTTTTTTTCTTGCCATAATACAAATTCTAACAGTCAGCTGTGTATCCACCTGACTCTTCTGCACAATACAACTGATGTTTCCAACCCCTTTTATAAGGCAAGAAATCCCATTTATTAAACCTGACAGAGGACGCCTGTTAAGTGAAAACCATTTCAGGTGACTACCTCTTGAAGCTCATCAAGAGAATATGCCAAGAGTGTGCGAAGCAGTCATCAAAGCAAAAGGTGGCTACCTTTAAGAACCTAGAATATAAGACATATTTTCAGTTGTTTCATAATTTTTTGTGTTAATGTTTTAATTCATAGTTTTGATGCCTTCAGTGTGAATATACAATTTTCATAGTCATGAAAAAAATAAAGAAAACTCTTTGAATGAAAAGGTGTGTCTAAACTTTTGGTCTGTACTGTAAGTCAGTAAGCACCGCAGGTGAAGTCTCTTCTCCAAGGACATGACGTCTAAGATGGATGGAGATGGGGATCAAGCAGCGACCCTAACTTTGTAGGACAAAGTTCCACATCCTACAGAACCATATCTATAAAAAAAAATGGTTCTAATGCGATTAAATAATAATATAGGAAACAAGCTAAAATGTGAGAATAAACATAATTTAATAAATATGATTTACAGAACAATTTAACTTCACATTGAATACATACAGACATTCTTATATTCATATCATTTTATATTAATGGGGAGTGTCTACGCTGATAACTGATGGGATCTCATCAATGATATTGCACCGAGAGAAAACGTTTAGAGATTTCACTTAAGCTCACGAGCAGCAGTGGCTCACATGGCATCATTCTGACCTTTAACTGTCACCTGAGGTTCTCTAATGAAGAGCAACAGATGTCTCAACATCACTGGATAAACCAATAAGGGAGAAACAACACAGCACTTCATTTATTTCCAATAGTGCAATAACATGGCTCTAAATAAAAGCAATGTAACAGCTGCCTCTGTAACAGGATAGTGAATCTACAGCGCCACCACATGGGTGAATAATAAGGATGACCCGATTCACTCAGTGCATAAGCAAGAGAAACAGCTGCATAACAACCACAGTGGATCCATTTTACACATACTGTGACCAGATGGCCACAGATGAGGCTCCAACTCACTAGAAAAACAAAAAATATATGGCAAAAAAAAATTTAAAAGGCTTAATAAAAACTACACTTTATTGAGTGAGGAAACCCATGTTCAATTCAAAATCCTGGGAAAATAATTTAAAACAGAATAACAACAACAATGATAACAACAATTCCTGCTATAAGTGGTTTGCAAATGAGCATGATGATTACAGTACATGTTTTCCCACAATGTCTTTACACAGCAAGATCTTTCTTCTTTCAGCCAGCTGAAGCAGTGCTCAGCTGAGAAACCTCCTCTCAGCTTCTTTCGAATCTCAATAAAAAGCATTTTAAACTGTAGGAAAATTAAAAGTTATTTTTATAAGAACTAACTGGCCCATGCCTAGTTTGAATGAAACCTCTCGACTACGGTAATAGTTTATCTGTTCTGTAAAAAAAAAACAACAACAAATAAAAAAAACGATATGACTAAGCATTTTATTACAGCCTAATAAACTGTTGAGGAGTTTGATATTTATATGCTGCCTTGGTTTATATCATCATGGCTGATTTTCATTAAAAACTTCTTGTGAACTACATTTGGCTCAGTTTTCATCTCAAGACATATGCACAAAAGCATTATTAATACCAAACCATTAGACACTTTTTTTAGGCAAATTCAGGCCAAAAATGTTACCTAGCATAATTATTTGATAAGAAACGTTTAGATCAGACCTCCTTGAGAGCAAAGCTTTAGATCCCACATGCTGGTTTACAACTAGACTATAACTGCATGGATGTACTTGATGAAAATAAAGTTGCAACCCCTGAAAAAAAAAAAAAAAAAAAAACGTGAACACACATGAGAGAACAACACTAAGGCTGAAAAGCAATTGTCTTCAAAACACTGTTTATAATTTTTTTTTTACCCAATTCATTGTTTCTTGATGGATCTGCACTCTGTCTGACAATTTAAGGAGATAATCCTGTCCTGGGAATAAATTAAACCATGTGGGGGAGTACTCTGCTCCGAGGGCCACCATGCCCTGCAGGTTATGTGTTTATTAGCTGCTCTGCTTCTGACCACCTATCAGGGAAGTTAATGTCATTTGACCTTATCTAAAATGTTGATGATCATCCCTTTGTGCTCCTCAACAAACAATGATTGACAGCTCGGTCTCGTGCAAGTTACCAGTCAGTTTTGCAGAGTCTCTTATATTCCACCTCATTGCATGGATGCTGCATTTTGCCACGCAATGAGGAAGTCAGAAAAACTGTATTTTTGCATTTTACCCTTTGAAAAGGCACGTTCTACAGCTGGTCTGCTCTCAGAGTTGGAACGTAAAGTGAAAACCGAAAGTAAAAATGAATGGCATTTTCCCCAAACAGCAGCGTTCAGTCCAGAGGGACCTCTGCTACCCGCCGTAGGATGACGGATGTGGCCTGCTTGGATTCCTTCATCTTGTCAAGGCCGAAGAGGAGGTCCAGCTGGGTCACAGGCCTTAGCCGATCCTCATCAACAGGCCTGAAACGAAGGAGGTGAGAATTATAACTTATATCTGCATTCAGCAGTGACATGGCTCAGTCTGCTTTGTTTACCATTTCTTTATCACAAGCCAATGCAAATTCACAACACGTCACCCTTAAGCAGAGACAATTTAATCAGATCTAATTTTGTTAAATTGGTCATACTTCACTGCAAAAAAAAAAGGAAAAAAAAGAAGAAATCTAAATAAGTAAAATTTTCTTAAAATAAGTGCTTTTTTATTGAGAAGGAAAGTTGGACACTTCGCCAATGGCGCAAGAAAATTTCCACTTTAAAAACAAATTGCATTGTCTTATTTCAAGTGTATATTATCTAATTATCTTATTTTAAGAGTAAAAACACTCATTCCATTTGCAAATAATCCTATATACCTAATAAACTTAAGGATAGACTTATTTCTAGATCTTTTTGCAGTGTTCTTCAGCTTTTTCCTACTTTGTTTTAGGTTTTAGATGCATCCCTGCAACAAAACAGCTGCATCAAATTATGGCCTCACTACCAGTCCTTTGCCAAACTTGATGGCATGATGAAGATATATTTCTATCATTTGAATTAGCCACGTTGGAGGAAGGACACATCTAAAATCTGCAGGTTAGTAGATCATGAGGACCAGGGTTGGACACCCCTGGTTTAGGCAATAGACCAAAAGGTTTTGGAAGAAACTGAGAAGTTGTGAGAAATCAATTCTAAATAAATATATATATATATATTAAAAAAAAAAATCTGACAGACATGTCACGCATTCTTTTTTTCCCTACAAGACTTCTCAGTGCTAAGAGAAACTTGCAATTAAAGCTGCAATCGTTTTAGGATGCATACTGTATGCATTTCCCAGCTCTGCAAATCTAGAGGCTGAATTATTCTCGCTTTTTTCTTTGTAAAGTTAACTAAAGGTAAAAGTGCATCAGAGAAAAAACACTTTCAGAGTCTTGCATCATGTTTTCATATAGGTTTATGCCTGGACTTTAACAAAGTTCTATCTTTATGATTGGGACTTTTCTCGGACTGGAAGGTGATACTCTGAATTCCCTTCAGGAAAGTCCTGCATTTTTAGCTCCATCAATTTTCCATCTCCTCTATGCAGCTCCTTTGTCTCTGCTGAAGAATCCCTGTAGCATGATACTGTCCACCATGTTCAACCATGAGGACTGCATGTTGATGGCGACATGTGGTGGTAGTTTTCTCCAATACAGAGCACCACGTTTGCCTTTACCACAGCATGTTTTTTTTTTTTTTTAGCAAACAGCAATCAGGGCTTCTGTAGGAATCTTTAAACCACTTCTTTCTACTTTCCACGTTTTTACTTTCAATATTAATTCTAAGGGTCGTAAATGTTCTTGTTTTATATTTCTGTTAATGAAGCAAACTAACTTCTAAATGAGAAAGTTTGCAGTATCATTAGGACCTAATAAGAATTACATTATAGTGTAGAAGTAGATTATAGCTGTATGTGTGAGGAGAGAGTTTGCTCTTTTCTGTGAATGCTCATTTGACGCCACATGTTTCACGCCGTCATAATGGAACCTTCTATGTATGGAGCTCTGAAAAGAAAAATTATTTTTTAAGCAATAATGAACCTGGATATTTTAGTGGTTGCTTGGCAACAGTGCCGAAATGTGTAACACAAATCAGATAATCTTATAAAAGCTGATTGTAAAGTCAATTAGATCCATCTGGCTTAATGACTTCCAGAGCTCTGTGGTGTTGATGATGTTTTTAGGGAGTCAACCAAAACTTCTAATGGTAGAATTAGTGTAAAAGTCAACAATAAACAAAACTTTGCTCTGTGCAGAATAATAGAGAAAATGGCTTTTGATAGAGAGGTATGACATCTTTCCAAACTAGTGGTTCTTTTTCTTTCCTCTTTTACAAAGATCCGCTCAGAGGTAAAGCAAACATTCATTCAGACAAACAGATTTCAAACAGTCTGTTTATGCTGAGGAGCTGGAGATCTGCTAAAATCATCAAGCCAAGAAAACTATCTAAGCTGGATTTGAACTCAACATTTACTTTCTACAAACACAAGTCGTATTCCTTTACTTTAGTCCTTTCTCCATCAGAGCTCAATTTCCTCCGAGACAAAACCGAATGAAGAATGATGCCCACCCGCTAGAAAATGAAAAATACCTTCTAGAGGACAAAGCTTTTGGCTGTTATTTTGGGTTGAGAGATGTAAGTCTGTAAGTGACAAACTAGTGAAGAAGTAAAACGGCCAGCAACCCGTCTATTACTCCAGTTCAAGTGTAAAAGAATCATCAGCTAATCGGAGGGGTAAACATTTGTCTAGCAACCACAGAGGTATACAGTACTCTGAGTAGATTTTACATGTTGGTTGAGACATAATGATTTTTGAATACCAAGAAAACCGTCTTTTAAAAGACAAGCTTTAAAGTTAGCTCTAATAGTGCCAGTGCTTGGAGAGGCTACAGCTGACAGAAGCTAACTGTGGAGAATTAAAGGATAACGGCGGAAGATCTAATAAGTCTCACAAGTGAACAGAGTATGAAGGAAAGGGAGAGGCTACGTGCAGCCAGCAGGAGGACAGCGGTAATTTGGAGAAGCTCGCAAGGGAGTCAGAGAGTAGAGTAGAGGCTATGGCTCCCCGTGGCTAGCATCTTGGCTAACTGCAGGAGATATAGGAGAGCACAGCAGACGCAGGGTTTATTCAGGAATGAGTAACTCTAATTTAATGCTTTTTAATGCTCTTAGAAATTAAACAAGTACCCATGACTCTCATATACTGTATGTATATATATATATATATATATATATATATATATATATATATATATATATATGTATATATATATATATATATATATACATATATATATATATATTAGGGGTGGAACGGTTCACAAAATCCACGGTTCGGTTCGATTCACGGTTTCTGGTCACGGTTTTCGGTTCGATTCGATACATGTTGATTGTTACACCGAAATCCCATAAAAAATTATGAAATTAATGAAAAACTCCCCCCAAAAATAATGGATTGTAATTATTTTAAATGATCCGCGGAAACCCTGGATCATTTCCCTATGTTTTGCTGCTTTGAATTTAATCATCTGGCGCATGCTCTCTAACCTGACAACAGCCAGATGCATGTCTCGCTCTGCATCTGGCTGTTGTCAGGTTACTTGCTCTCTACCATCTCCAAGGAACTCAGAGGGAAGAAGACAAAGCCACAGTGGAGGCTGTACGCTTTGCTTTGAGCAGCCGGTCTGGAGCGCAGGGGGGGTTGCTGACGGAGTATGAGGGATTTCGGAGTTAGCATGACATGTTGCTGTTAGCATAAACAAAACGTGTTGCACAATGCTTGCACACTGTTGCACTTTTATCCACAACTTTCTTTGCGCTGTCATCGTAGGTCACTCTAAATGCAAAGCGCTCCCTTACAGCAGACCTATAAAGTGCTGCTGGCGCGTCTTCCAACTCCTGTTCTTTCCCACTCGCCAGTCCGACAACAATTGATTTTTTTCCCTGCTACACCCGGCTAAGCTGCTTCGCTTCTTCTTCTTCTTGTTTACTACTGGCGGTTGGCTTTGGTCGCAGTACCGCCACCTTCTGCTCTGGAGTGTAATCGCTTCCTCTATGAGAAAAAGGAGCAGCGCTTGAACCGAACGAAACACACGCGAACCGAACCGTGACAGTCGAACCGAACGATTCTGACGGTTTTCATAAATCGTCCCATCCCTAATATATATATATATATATATATTTATTAGGGATGGAATGGACTGTGGCAGCGTAGCCGGGTGTAGCAGAAAAAAATCAGTTGTTGTGCAGAATTGTGTGGGTATGGCGATTGGAAAAGAACAGGAGTTGGAAGACGCGCCAGCAGCACTTTATAGGTATGCTGTATGGGACCGCTTTGCATTTAGAGTGACCTACGATGACGGCGGAAAGAAAGTTGTGGATAAAAGTGCAACAGTGTGCAAGCATTGTGCAACACGTTTTGTTTATGCTAACAGCAACATGACCAACATGTCATGCTAACCCCGAAATCCCACATATTCCATCAGCGCTCTGCCCCGCTGCGCTCCAGACCGCCTGCACAAAGCAAAGCCTACAGCCTCCACTGTGGATTTTTTTGAATGGTTTCATTAATTTAATAAAAAAATAAATAAATTAATACATTTTTATAATTTTTATAAATTTTTTTATTTTTTATTTTTAAAATAGAAATTGTGCGTCAGTAGCCCATCTCTACTGTTGATCACTTCAACAGTTTATTTACACAGGCTTGAGGTGAGTTTTTTGTGCACAGGTGGAGAAGATGGCTTTTCAAAGCTACAACAACAGCACTGTTCTGAAAATTTAGAGCTACTTTTAAAATAAGCACTTGGAGTGAGTGGCTGCCTCACTGAAAACTCCTGCAGAGTGCTTCAGCTGCCCTCTACTGGAGTAAGCTTCCCTAAACAGGTCTTTAAAAAAAAAAAAAAAAAAAAAAAACTCTTCAGTCTATTTGTTTTTCCTTCAGTGTTTAACAAACACATTCTATATAATTTATGCCTTCAAATTCAAATGAAAAAACATATACATTCTAAATGCTGTAGCTTAACACTTAAGATTTAACGCTTTAATACTTTATGTTTTCATATTTTGTTCTCACAAATGGTAATTTCTAAACAAATGTTGTGTTCTGATTATTTTCCTTTCTACCACCTTGCAGTGTTTCTAACATGTATAGCCTACAGAGCGGTACCTATGCGTAAACATTTGAGTCTCCTCTGGTACACAGGTGGGGCTCCCTACACTGAAACACCTGTAATGCGCTGACAGACGATTTCTTTTGAAGATTTTTTACAGAAATGTAACAAATTAAAATCTGAATTAAAACCTGGAAGGTATAATTTCATCACAAATTTAGTTTCCCTCTAATTGCAGAGCAGGTCCAACCAGTCAGCAGTGGAAATGAAAGTGGTGGTACCAGCATAAAGAGAGTAATTAGCTGCTCCTGCTGCACTGCTAAATTACATATTATATTTATGATGGCTGAAATGAACATATCTAACCCTTTCCTGTTATTATGCAAAATTATTTTTTAACCAAAGATACTAGCTGCACATCTGTGTACTTTCTCAAACTAACTCAAACTTACAAGGTGTTATGTCTTTTTTTATAATTATTATTTGTTGTATCCTGTGTTGCCAATATAGCCTTGGATGCCCAAAAGCTAGAAGCACAACAGATTTGCTTTCACAAGCAGACCTTTATAACTGTTGCTTTAAGTTTCAGCTTGGTACCTGTGTATGAAACTTTATTAAAAATCATTTATGAAACGGAGACGGAAAGGAGAGGAAAAAACGAGCGGATAAGAAGTAAGGGGAGAGAGAAAGAGATGGAGACAGGAAAAAACATATGGACGCACACAAAACAGCAAAAATAGAAGATATTCATGTATCTTCATGTAAGTATTTAAGTATGTTTTCACACCCGTATGAGACGAGAGGAACAGAAAACAGAGAGCCTAACAGCAGCAAAAAGAAGACATCAGAAAACCAAAGTAAACATAAAAAAAAGCTTCTAGAGCAGCAGGTATCCCTTAGATATCCATGTATGTGGAAGGCAAAACCTACCGTGATTACACAATATTAATCAGGGTGGTATATATCTGTAGTTTAAGCTTAGTATTTAGTAATATAGTGTATCCTTGAACACCTGATACCAAACTCCCATGGCATTGGCATGTTCAATCAATAAAGAATTTGGGTAGCACTCAGTGGGTAGCACGATTTTTGGATGCAATCCATAAATGTGAACATACAACGGAAAAGTTTAAGTACCGGTAAACATGTGAATGTTTGTGGACTAGGATTTATTTATTACATTTTTTTCAACATAATTGATAAGGAGTTTACAAATTTAAGGAAAATGAAGAGAGGAAAAAAAAGGGAGAATGTCAAAGAGGGCAATCAACAGCTTCATAAAAGGCAATCAGGAAAGAAATGTGACTGTCATCAAATTTTGTGTAAAAGATTAACATTGAATTGTAATAACTGGTTTCAACCTGGAATTTCTAGGAATCTCCAGCGCTATTCATTTAAAGTGAGGTATTATTTTAGAACTCATATTTTCTTTCTTAATGTTCTTTCAATGTGTACTAGATACTATTTCTTTTTTGTGTTTGAAAGAATTTAATTTCAACTCTGACATTTAACAATTCCAAGAACAGCAGGGATTATAACCCAAATTAGCCACCCCATGCCTATTGTTCCCAACAATGGACCATTGTCCATATGAAGCTCACACTGCCATACCGTGCAAAGCCTGAAGTTGTGACAATCAAGGTGTGAGAAATGTTGATACCTAAATATTTTATATTCCCTGTCTGCAGTTGCATATTGGGGGCCTTTTGGACACTACAATTAATAGGTTGGAAGGTGGATTTTGAACAGTATATAGAGTAATCAGATTCTTTAGAACAATTCTAACAATTGAATTTCTCAAGAGACCGAGGCTTTTGAGTGCCGATGAAAGACTAATACATCGTCTGCATAAAGACTGATTTTAGGGTTCTATGTTCCTGCATTTAATAGCTTTAATATCATTGCTTTGCCAGATTGCTGCAAGGACTGGTTCAAGAAAGATAGCAAACAATAAGGGATAGAGCGGACATCTTTGCCTAGTGCCCCTCTGCAGATTATGTAGAAGTTTAATTATTTGTTCTTATAATTAATTCATGCGATTGTTGAGCTGAATAATATTTTTAGCAAATTTAATGAACCATCACCAAAGCCAAATGTACGTAAAGATGCAAAAAAATACGTCTAATTAACTCTATCAAAGTTGTTCTTTCTGTGTCTAGTGATATGTAGGGTTTTGATACTTTCACTGTAGGAGTAGCCTATTAGTTTATTAATCTGCACATATTTGTAGCTGCATGTTATCCCTTTATGAAGCCATTTTAATCTCAGTGGATAAAACAAGGAGTTAATTTTTCTAAACGTTTGGCAAGAGCTTTACAAAGCTCAAAACTAATCAAAGATATGGGTCGATATTAAGTTGTGTTGTGTCTTTTAACATTCTTCGAAGAAACCTTTTCTTTTTAAGCAAACAATCCCTCAAAATCAAACCTTCAGGAAACCCAGATAATTAAACAGACACGGAGAGGAATAATTGGTTTGCTGGAATGTGTAACTGTGACATATGTTGTACAGGGTGTAAGACCTGCTGTACCTTTCCTCCTCCTCATAGTCCTGCAGCTGCTGTGCGATCTGCCTCATTTGCTCCTTGCGGACGTAATCCCTGACCCGGTACATGGCGGCATCGCGGCAAAGCTCCCGGAGGTCACTGCCAGAGTATCCTTCGGTCTTCTCAGCAATCTCTTTCAGATTTATGGCATTACTCAGCTGTGCAAAACAACAAGGACAACCGCTTTGTATAAAATGACACACAATTTTTCACTTAGTCGCCATTAGGCTGTAGTTTTTGATTGTCAATCAAACTCAGAAGGCTAAGGCTTGCTGCGATTTATTTTATGGGGACTGGAAAAGAAAATAGAGTAGTGACAAAGTGACTGGCATGCTGAATTAGGTTTCCTGCAGGCGACAAGCAGGGGAGAAATGACAGCTTACATTTTCTCCAGCTAGAACCAGCCGGAGGATGTCTTCTCTTTGCCTTGTATTCTGGCGTGACAGAAGCACAGTATCAGTTATGGGTTATAAGGAGAAATTTGTATCAATTGAATTAAACAAGTAAAACTCTAACATACTTGACAGAGGGTGTCATCAAAGCAAACAGTGGTGTGCAAAAGTCATTTCACCCCTTATTGTTTTAAAAGAAATTGTAAACTTATAAACCCAAACATTTTTAAATGTGATAAATCAACACAAGGCAGAACTTAGTTGTCTGAAAGGGGTCATAGAATGCAAAGCCGATGTTTACATTCTCATAGATGAATAATGATACTTCAGTGGGAGAATGGATGTAAAGAGGAGTTCAAACCCCATCTACACCTCCTTTCTCTGAAAACCTCACAATTCTGAACTTCCACCATAAAACGGGCGAATTCAAACGAAGCATCGAGTTGGCCTAAACTCTGGGATGTTACCTTATTTGGTTCTGGCCTGTACTTTTGTCATCCCCTGGGGGGGCGGGTATGAAGTGTCGACTGCTGGGTCGCTGACTGGACTGGAACTCAGCACAGAGCTCAGGGGGAAGCACAGTACCGCCTGTGTCCAGGCTACCATCACTGGGTCGGGTTTGTTCACTCTGTCCCCCGCTGGCTCCTGCCCCCCTCCGCCGGGGTTCCTGGACCAGGCCTGTAGCTCACGGCTCGTTTCTGCTGCTCTGTAGTCAACCATAATCCTGGACGATTTTGAAATTACCCCCAGACATTTTTTTAGGTATGAAAAGTACGACATGTTTGGGAAAAAGAGGACGTCTGGTCACCCTACTATCAACAATTTGATGTTTCAGTGAGTGAGTGCTTGTTGCTATGATGCGTCTTTGCTCAGTACCTTCACGCGTTGTAAACCAACCAATCAGTGCACAGCTCCTCTAAATATTCATGAGCATACCATAAAAGGAAGAAAACCTGTAATTTCATTCTGGGGCTTTTAACCAGGCTGGCATTAGCGCTCATAGAAAAGCAAATAGGCCATTTTCAGCCCAACCAATGTTACACACCTGATTCAGCTACCTCAAGGACCAGCACCACATACCCTATATAATCATTGTATGACCCATTGAAGGAATGTAATATGTTTGCCTCAGATGTTCAAAACATTTACTCTGGTGTTCAGCTGTAAAACCATCCTGGAGTGAGTCATCACCTGGGCTATTACCATTAACAATTTAATTATTGATGATATGGGTCGATTTTTCAGTGCTTAGTCGCAGTTCTCTCCTAAGAAGGAATTGTCCATGTGAGTCTCAACATATTTAGACCATTAGAAATTAAATTAGTAGACATTTTGTATAGCAAGAAATGATACTTAAAGAAAAATACCTTCTTAAAACACAGCATTTTCGTACATCTGGATGAATCCTTCAAGCTCAGTTAATGGCGTCTCATTGAGAAGTGTTCCTTGTGTGCTGTTCGGAGTCATAGTGAGTTGGAAGGACATGAGTTTTTGTGTCGCCTTGGTGTCGTCAGTTTGTACTTTTAATCACAATCATCAGATCATGCTGACCAGTAGCTAGCAACAAGTCTGTCTGGAAAATGGAAATTTCCAAAGAGGAGTTGCTTTTCTCTGTGTTTTTGTGCTGTAACTTGCCTCATTGGCTTATCTCTTTATGTACGCTTGTTATGGTCGCTGAACATTCATCTTTAGTGCTAATAAAAACACAGTTTGCAGCAGCTATTTTTAACCCATTCTTGTTATTCGAGTTATGCTTTAGGAATAATGATCACTGGTAAGAAAAAAATTGTTGTTTCATCTCCTGTATTATTACACAGCTGTTGAACCCTTTTTTTTCTCCTTTTTTTTAAAGACATTTGCTGGTAAACCAAACTTTCCTTTTTCTTTTGACTAAAATAATGTAATATCATCTTAAAAGAAAAGAAAATATTCCATTACCTCCAGTTTATTACATTACAACAACAGATATTACAGGTTTCTTTCTCTTCTTTATCTTCTCCATATAGTGATAATACCTGCCGTTTGTAAGCAGCTCTGTTTGCAAATTGTTCCTGCTTTTGAGATTTACAAAATAAATCCAAAACTCTCCATGTTGACATCAAGCAGCACATGCAAAATCCTTATTTAAATAAAGCTTCCTGCACCACTTTTGCACCTGTTACCAACAGGGCCCCTATCTTGGTCATGCAGGTAAATGCGCAGTTTTTTGTTTGCTCAAGCAACTTTGAACTACTTATTAGAGTAGATCAGGGCTAAGTTTTATTTAAATGAATAAACATATATTTTTATTCCACATTTTATGATTAATAACTGTGATCATGAGTAGGAGCGTGCATGCACACATCTTACCGGTAGGCCAACGTGAAAGGTGGCAGGCATCCTTCGCAGAATCGCCGGATCTACATCCTGTGGCCTGTTTGTGGCTCCCATCACCATTACCTGCAATTTCACAAAAGCCCAGACATCTTTACCTGGGAGGTGTTTAACAGTTTTAAGAGAAGCCTGTCTTATCTTTACCTTGGTGGTTAGGGAGGTGTCAAGCCCATCCCACAGGCTCATGAACTGGGCCTTCATCATGGCTGTGGCCTCATGATCCAGACTGGAGCGATTTCTTAGAAAAGACTCTAAAATAAGAGAGCCAAACACTATCTAATAAAACTTACATAGATTAAGGCGCAACAAAAACTGTCACTCTTAAAATAACATCAAAAAAGCTTGAGATTATTTCTAGAAATAAAGAAAAGGGATTATCTGATTATCCTCTTAAGTTCTGTTTAAATAAAGTATTTCAGGACATCCATGATGTGCAACTCACCGATCTCATCAATAAAGATAATACAGGGTTGAATTTTAACAGCTAAGGAGAAAACGGCGGCGGTCAGTTTCTGGGACTCCCCGTACCACATATCCGTCAGCGCGGACGCCTGAAGGTTGATAAACTTGCACCCAGAGGCTTTTGCTGTTGCCTTGGCAATCATGGTCTTCCCACATCCCGGAGGACCAAACAATAACACACCTGTAAACAACAAAAGAAAGAAAGAAAGCCTGAAGTCTAAAGATTGAACTAGATACCCACTGCAGCTAAATTTAGAGCTCGAGTCGACCTGAGGCTTTTTATAAAGCTGAAGCATTTCTCTCAAAGTCAAATGGATAAATCTCATTATATGCTTTAACCTTGTCTAACCCACAGCTTGAGGAAGGTCAAGATAAATCCTATTAATTCTTTAATTGTTGCTTTATTTTAACTCTTAATTTCTGGAAGATGTTATAAAGAACCCAAAAACATTTTTGGAATAAACGTCTTTAACTATGTTGTTATATTTATTACAGGGTTTATACAGGAATGAGTAACTCAAATTTAATGCTTTTTAATGTCCTTTTAATGCTCTTAGATATAATTGTAATGTCATCAACAAGTACCCATGACTCTCATCTATCTATCTATCTATCTATCTATCTATCTATCTATCTATCTATCTATCTATCTATCTATCTATCTATCTATCTATCTATCTGTATGTATATAATAAGGCAAAGTCCTTCATCATCTTTACTGTGGACAGGCTGCAGACATGTCCCAAGTTCTTTTTCTCCTAACATATGGCTTTACGATCAAATGGAAGCAAATATATCGCAATATATCTGACAAAATTGTTCCATACATTTTTTTTAAATAAAGTATTTTAAATGCCACTATAATCACACTTAATGCATTTTAATGCCAATTAAGGATTTTTAATGACCAGCGGAAACCCAGTATTAAGAAAAAAAGTTTCATGGCTTTCACAATCATCATCATCATCTTATTTCATTGTTTAAAAAGAACTCAGCAGGTTTGTTACTGTTTTTATTTTTAGTTGTTTAAAGTTGATTGGTGTAAAATGTTGAGGAAGATTACATGCAGCTGGTTACTGGTCTGGAAGTTAACGTACCACAGCATAGAAGCAATAACTGAACCTGTGAAAAGGTCACAGATGATTAATAGAAGGTTACTTTTTGTAAAGCTGGAGCAAAGTTTCTGCCAGTTTTTGTGAATTTAATATAGGCTTTTAAGACTGTTATAATTTACTTCTAAAAATGCACTAGGCATGGTGGGTGCATCACTTCATCTGCCTCTCTTCTTACCCTGATTCGCCCATCACTCTGGAACAGGGTAAATCTGGACGCATCAGACCACATGACCTTCTTCCATTGCTCCACAGTCCAATCTTTATGCTCCCTAGCAAATTGAAGCCTTTTTTTTCTGGTTAGCCTCACTGATTAGTGGTTTTCTTACGGCTACACAGCTGTTCAGTCCCAATCCCTTGAGTTCCCTTCGTTCCCTTTGTGCGTGTGGAAATGCTCTTACTTTCAGTATTTAACATAGCCCTGAGTTCTACTGTTGTTTTTCTTCCATTTGATCTCACCACACGTTTAAGTGATCGCCGATCACGATCATTCAGGATTTTTTTCCTGCCACATTTCTTCCTTGAAGATGATGGGTCCCCACTATCCTTCCAGTTTTTAGTAATGCGCTGGACAGTTCTTAACCCAATTTTACTAGTTTCTGCAATCTCTTTAGATGTTTTCTCTGCTTGATGCATGTCAATGATTTGACCCTTCTCAAACAGACTAACATCTTTTCCACGACCACGGGATGTGTCACTCGACATGGATGTTTAGGAAATGAGAAGCAAGTCATTGCACCAGTTGGGGTTAAATAACTTGTTGCCAGCTGAAAGATAATCACCCATTCAGTAATTATCCAATAGGAGGCTCGTACCTATTTGCTTAGTTTAATTCAGGTGGCGACTTTTTTTTTTTGGCCAGGCAGTTTATATACATTTCCGTCTCACTGTATAATTTAATTTCTACCTACATTTATCTGTTTATTGTATTTTTGGTGGCAATTAATTGTATGCTTATTTATTTATTGAGCATTTATTTATTTCTGTATTTATTTTTAAATATGTCAGAGCTGGTCCTCCATAGCAGTACATCAATCTAGACGGTTAATTATCTTTTTTTTAAATCTTTTTATCTTTATCATGTAGCACCACCTTCTGTCAGCGGTTTACATCCAAACTTACTGTAATATTCCGTCAACATATTTGGACTCTCATTTAATAAATTTTAAAATGTACTCGATTTTAGTTGCAGCTTGTCAACAATTGTTAGCATGTGACCAATTTGATCAGAATTTGTCCCAAAGCAAAACGCCACTAATCTGTTGGAATTGCAGACTTTTTTCCTTAGACAAAAATTTACTGATTTTGGAATTAGGAAGGAAGTGCAACCATTTTGTGAAAGATTTATTAAACTATCATGTGGGAGGTGTGCTCTAACATCTCTGAAGGGGATCCTCCAAATGAGACCAGATGAGAACAACTACTGTGCAAGACTCTAAGGCAAAAACTTATTAGACTGGAGTGAAAAGGCATAAAGCATATATAGATAAATAAATATAAACCTTAATTTCTACACAGAAATCAATTGTTTGTTACTGTATTTAGGACATTTAGAATAGGATTTGTACTTCTTGGAGGCAAACCGAGTATAAAATAAATAATATATCTATCTTCAGTATAGGGTTTCATAAAAGACCTTCTAATATTGCGTGAAATCCACAGCTGCGTACCTTTAGGAGGCTGGAAGAGTTTAGATTCAGGTAAAAGGTGTCTTTTTTGAAAGGGTAGTATAACGGTGTCCTGCAGCTCGTTAATAATGTCATCCAGACCTGCTATATCTCTCCAGGACACCTAGAAGAAAGCAGAGTCAGGGAGAGAAATGTCATCCAAAAAGATGGAGAATTACATAGCTTTTAATAATCTCTATGTTATTCAAACAGAAGGACGATGTTACCTTGATAGTTTGGGGATCGACTAAGAGAGATGCAATGTTCATCTCGTACTCTGTCAGTTTGACCCCTTCGACGCCGATCCTCCTCATCAGCTCCTCTGCCTAAAGTTAAGATACGAAAGTCAGGTAAAGATCATTGTGCTGAAGTTACGTATGCATTAGAATGTAAATTTTAAATAAATATAGGTGAAGGTGAATTTTATTTATTTTTTTTTTTAAATCGATGCATTTTCAGGTTGTAACATAACCACTATGTTGTGGTTACCACTATGTTTCTTTTCCTGTTTGGTAGAACAGTTGTTATTGCATTGATAATATCATTTCAAATCTCTCTGGTTAAAACTGATGTTGGGTATTAGAATACTGTTTTTTTTTTGTTTTTGTTTTTTTGGTGTTGAGAAAATTAGTTTGACCGGTTAGGAAGATGCACACCGTCATATCTGTGCAGCGGGAGATTTTTGTTTGGTTGAATGTTTAAAACTAGATAAAACTAAAAGAAAGGCGATAAAACAGCAATAAAAGTTTGTCCCAGCGCAAAACGCACTGCATCCGGTGGAAGAAGACTCCGCCAAGGGGAAAGAAATACGCTCCCATCGTGATCTGGACTTTATTTTTCTTTTTGGGGATTTTTGGTGGTACCACTCTTTTGGCTTATCTGTTTTTAGAGGCGGTTTGACGTTTGGATTTTTTTATTTCGGAATGGGATTTTAGACTTAAATGGAGAAACACTTCCAGGACCTTGTTTTGAGTTTGGAGGACACAGAACTCCTTTATTATTTAAAATAAAAATAACGGGCAATTTTGGACTTTCAGTTAATTAGGTTTTTGCAAATAGAAATGTTTTGAGTCTAACTTATAAATTGTTTTTTAAGGATTTTTGGTTATTAAATTTGTTTATTCCAAAAAACTATTGATACTTTGTAGTATTGTAATTTTTTTGTAATAAATCATTGTTATAAAAAAAATAAATAACTTTCTTATTGGTGGTTGGATATTTATTTTCCTATTAAATTAATGACGTAACACATTTTACCTGTTTTCCTATGACAGACCCCCCTTGAGTATATTGTGAGTTCTGCTTTTAATCAAGCAGAATTTTATAAGGTTTTAGGTCAAAGTTTCTAAGGACTGCTAACAAGCAACAAGTCTTTCTGGGGTTTAACTTAGAGGTTGACCAATACAGCTTTTTAAGGCCGATGCCAATTATTTTAACAATAGTCAAGCCAATTCAAAATATGGGCTTTTGTTTCTTTAGGGATGATTCTTTAGGCCAATATTGCTTCCTCTTCCTCCATTTAAATTATAAAAACAACACAAGAATATCAAATGTTACATAAGTCTCAATTTAAACAAAAAGAAACATTTATAATAAAAAAAAAAAAAAAAAAAAACATCAACAATGGATAGCAAATGGAGAAAGCTGCAATGCGAGTGCCTTACATGATCTGAAGGCAAGGCTGCTGAATGCACTAATGATTTGGCAAAACAATAAATAAAAAGGTCTATCTGTAGTAATATGGACTTATAATCTTATCTGATGCAAAAAAACATACGCAAGAACTGATGCAGACACAATTAATCAGACATGGAATCAGTTCCTTCTCCATAACCTTAATTTTTAGACCTAAATCCAAACAGAAACCAGACAAATTTAAGTGACAAGAGTGGATGAAGACATTTTCCAAGACCTTTCACTTTGTTACCAACAGCCTTGCAAATGTTTTTAGGTTCTCCCTGCAGCAAAAAGATGGTTGAATAAACTAGTAAAAGCAAAGGCAGAAATAAACAAGCAAATAATGATTAGGTTTATTTCCTGCCACTGCTTTAATTTACTTAAATAAAATGAAAGTAAACAATGTTATGCTGCTTCAAAAACATGACCGTATCTTTAAGCTTGGGTTGCAGGACACCATATGATGACATACCCTTTTTTTGGCCTGGCTCTTCTGTTTAGAGGTGGGGTCCATGGCGTCCACAACCCATTTGATGCTGTAGTATGTAGCAGCACCAAAGATGCTCAGCCTCACCAACATCCCAATCACTTCATTCCTGGACAGGGGCCTCATCAAGGCTTCTCTGGGCAGATCTTTCAGTAGCATCTTTACTGGCTGATATCAGTCCATCGGCTGGGAGAATCAGAGGCGAAAGGCATCACAGCAGCAGGAATAAAAACAAAACATTTGTATAATTAAAGAAAATGCGCATCACCATGGCGAGAAGTTTCTTTTAACTCAGATTACGAGAGTTCTGGGCTATGTATAATAGATTTAAGAGTGCTTGTTTAATTATAAAGGCTCTTAAAATTCAAGTTAGAAAAGGGATTAAATTAACTTTAGGCAACGAAGGACATTCATAGGTTAGCATCTCTCGGTAATAAAGCGCTAAGCCTGACCAAATGTCATTTAACACCATGAAATGTTTACTATTAAGCTATTTTTTTTTATAATTTGTGTTTATATATAACATTTCTATAAGCTAAAGAGATTAATTGAGCGAGCTGAACTTACCAAAACAGAAATGTCAAATGCTAGCTAACTGTACTGAAGGTGCAACTGTTTTTGTGGTTCGGCTAGAAACAAAACCTTTTGCTCCTGAATGCACCTTCCCTAAATATCCACTGGATGGCAGTGTTTTCCCACAAAACGACCTGAAATTAGCACCTTGGACAGCGTCTTCAATAACGTCACAGAAAGCTTAAATGTCAATAGATGAAAATTGAGGATTTAATTAAAACAACAACAGAAAAATAAGGAGAAATATATACAAATAATCAATATGACATCTTGTAAATTGGCTATTTAATATAAAGCAAGTTTTCATAGTTTTAGTACCATCTTCATCAAATGCATAATCTGTGGTTCATTTGGTTCTTACAGGAAATTCAACCATAGAAATATAACATTTACATAGAGCATGAATGATATCTTACAAAAAGCCTAATATTTCATTGGACCTTATGTAATGGAAAAGTAAAGGGGGAAAACAAATTTTAAACGCTTTCAGAAGTCTTTCTAAAGCAATATTTTCAAAGAACCAGCTTTTGCATATTTTTTGGGTTGGTGGGTCTATTAAGTTTTGAAATCTATACAAATTTCTCTAAAGCTGTGCCACTTTAGGAGAGTAACTATATGCCACAGAGTCTTAACAGTATTTAGGTTTAAACCTTTAAATTGAAATCATGAATAATGAATAATGAATGCTATTTATCTGTAAACCATTCTAACACAGCTATAGTTCTGGTATATGATTTTGTCCTGCTGAAAGAAAAATCTCTATCTTAATTTTAAGTCATTTGTGCCATTTTTTTTTTAGAATCAACTTTCACTGCAAAGGTTGTGTTCACAAACATGGCTTTTGACCTTAGTTTTTCATCTTTTACACCACAATTAACAGTTTAAACAATATAAACATTATGTAGAGAAAACTCTAACAAGAGATAAAAAGGGCAAGGTAAAATGTTGAACCATATATGGTATACAAGTATGCATGTGCAGCCCATCTTTTATTTGTAAAATAAAAGAGGCAATGTAATTGTTCTAGTATACTGCTCTGTGTGTGTGTGTGTGTTCAACAGAGACAGGCTCTTTGTGTTGCTTATTATGCCAGCCAAAATGTTAAAGATTATTGGCAGAGGTTTACTTGCTTTTTTGGCCCTAGACTTCTGCAGGCATCAACCTTTTTCTGTTTTGTTAATGAGAGAAACCACACAGAGATAAATGTGCAAAAACAGAGAAAATGATGGTGGTTTAGACAGTGAGCTGAAGTTCCTGCAGAAGGTTGTATCACTTTAGTTTCTCCAGCAAGTTCAGTCTATGCCGGGCATTTTATGTGTCAGCCAACTCAGATGACTAGATAGGATTTGGGGGAATAAGAAGGGGCACAGTGTTATTAAGGATGGATACACTGAACTAGAATAACAATAGTGTGCAGTTTGCAAGAGTAAAATAAAGAAAAAAAGAAAGACAGACAGACAGACATACAAACAGACAGATAGATAGATAGATAGATAGATAGATAGATGATAGATATTTGATAATATCTGGCAAAGCATGTGAAACTTTTACATTTGTTTTTCCCTTTAAATGTTTGCTTTGCTTCCACAGTGTGTCTCCATGTTTGTTTGAGTTCCTGTTTAATGTGTCTTTGTAAAACATGACATTATCATTTTGAACTGAATATATCTCTCAGGAACATCTGTAGATCCCTTAGGAACATTGTGATTAGACACTCTAGAATGTCCTGGGGTGGGCTCCATGCATACACTCCAGTGTGAGATAGCGTATCTGAAGCCGTAATCTTTGCTTAGCTTCCACTCCTTTCCAGCACTCTCTGATAATGAATAATTCAGCCTTTCCTAAGATCAACCTGAAAGATAAGCCTCTAACAAATGGCCCGTTTTTCTAATGCAATTCATCACACAGGGACCAAGGAGACTGTTAATTGTCACAGATTGTGAACGGACCACCATGTTTAACTTTCTTACAGTGCAGCCTGGTGGAGAGGCAATCGCAGAACAGTCAAAACAGTTAACTGCTACTCCTCTGTCAGCATTATGTACCATGTTTTGAATGGAATAGTGAAAAAGGTAAACCCTTTTTACTGTATTTATTCCACCACGTAGAAAAATGTCCACCCCTAGGCTGTCAATTAAATAACATTGGATGTAGATATTAGATATTCCATCCAATACCAACAAAATGCAGTCAAGTCCACAGTTATTTCTGCAAAATGACTCACAAGCTGCAGCTGCAAGCACCTTTGGCTGTGAAGGTGCTTCATAAAAAGCTTTTAAACCTTCTGTGCTGCAGCAGCGAGTCCCAGGAGATAGCAGCCTGACGGGGCCATTTTGATGGTGCTGGGCATGAAAGCAGAAGTTTGTGTATCTGCAAAGAACAGCCGGGCTCCGTGTTCCTGCAATGCCTCTAGCACCTTGCCTAAGCAAATGCTTTTTGCAGCAGGTATCAGCAAAGAAAAAAACAACAACAAACTTTGCTCCAAACATTTGGTGTTGCTAAATCTCGAGAAAAACCAAAAGCAGATATTTGAGATTTTGAGGATGCATACTGGAATGTTAAGAAAATGATGTTTGTGCAGTTTAATACCTTGTAACATGGGCTTAGGATGTACTAATGCAACACTTTGGTGGCAGTTTAGTGACTACATTTGTACCACTTCTACTTCCACAAGTTAAAATGTCAAACAGTAGATAAAAACAGGTACATTAAACCCTAGAGGAAGGAAAGACATTTGGCAAGGAACTATTTTTAAGTGTTTTAATGATGAGGCCAGATGTTTGACATAAAGGATTGCTGCGAACTCAATGACTCAATGAAAGAGGCCCTTCTCTGTCTCTGCATGCTCATATGGGAGTAAAGGCAGCTTCTTGTTTTTCCATGGAAAGAATTTTCTAAATATTCATATTTCAATCTGAAAAACTCACTCGGAGAGATAAGACAATTAGAAGAAATTTACTGAGACAATTACTCTTTGGCGCTCAGGCCTCGGCAGGAAACATAGAGCTTAATTTTTTATCGATATTCTTACAGGAGTAAGAATAGGGCTGGTTACCCCAGGCCTGAAACTGGTGGTGGAGTAGAGATGGATGAAGTTGGTTAGTCTGTAGACTGCTGGCTAGCGAGACTGTATGCTGAGCTTAAGGGGAGATCCAGTGGACTGTGTGGACTAATGCTAGAGCTTCACTCAGGGACCTGGAAGATGAAAGTCCAGCTTGGTTCAAAGAACCTGTCCATGATGAGCAAGCATGAGCGACAGTGGAGAGGAAAAACTCCCCGTTGGGAAGAAACCTCTGGCAGAACCAAGCTCAACATGGCGGTCTTCTGCCGGACCGGTTAAGATGAGACACGGAATGCAGTAGGAGTCCGGGAATGATGAAACCCGATGAATCATTGGCTGCAAAGTGGAGAAGGGGCTGGAGGTGGGTTGAAACAGGTCATGCGAATGAAGTCAGGTAGCGAATCCGCCACCTGCGCAGTTAGAAGCAGACCAGCAGATCGGAGGCCTTTAAAGATGGACTTGGATGCTGATAGGCTTTGGTGGAGGTGCGGTTCAAAGTTCACTGATTCAGTCACAGGTGATGTAGGAGAGCAATTAGTTTCTTCATTTGAACTTCCACCTAGGCTCAATAAATTGATTGAATGGACTCCATAAAGTACCCTAAAATGACCAAACTGCATTGAACTAAAAACATAATGCAGTGTGAAGTTTTACTCAAATGCAAATATTATCACTTTTTTTATTCTCCCATTAACAGCTTTTTGGGAATCTGAACATGAACATGCAACATCTAAATTTCCTTGAATGTTTGGTGATAGGTCCTTGGAAAAAGAACATGCAATAGATAAAAAGTGACAGCCAAGCCACTGGCAGAGGGGTATTCATATATTTGAATGCCATATGTTTCACTTGACCTTATTGATCGCATCAGCTTCCAGCTGTGTCCCATGACAGATGAGATCCGAGGTTGCTGGAACAGAACTACACTCTGCAATCATCCAGTTTGAACTATAGTCCTCTTTGAAATGCTTCAAAAACAGAAAAAGTCATAACAAACCTCAGACAAAAGATGTGATTTAGGTAAACTTTCTGCTGTTTCATAACAAATGCTAACTGAATGCATCAGATTGTCGTTTTCTGGCTTGTGCCACCCGGTTAATTTGGAAACAGTGAAGTAAGGATCCTTAATTAAATGCAGAGTGTATTTTATTTTTGTCAGCACTGGATTTTATTTTGAAAACTAGATACAATTTCTAGGTACAATGTCTTGTTAATGGCTAATTTAAATATGGGTACAAAGCAAGGCTCTACCCTCCTAACAGTTTTTCTTACTGTTGTCATGCTGATTTAAAATATTCCTCTTTTAGTATTCATGTCTTGTGGTCATCCACTTAAGCTTTGTACTTTCTGTTTCATTTTAGCTGGTTAGAAAGAAGAAGGAGAAAGGTGTCTAGCAGAACACACGTATTTGTCTGAATGCTCAAGAAAAGAATTTGACAGGACAGTGAAGTTTCCTTGGGCCCTCTGCTCTCTTTGTTCCCTCTGCCAATGTAATTCTTGCAAGTATCCGTTTCAACACCACTTTCAAGGGAAAGTGATTGCAACTGTAGTTCCAGAACACCCCCCAGACTTCACCATGGTTACTGACATGCAGACAATACACTGAGAGATGTTGAAAAAAAGGTGATAATTTGTTTTCTTCTCTCCCCTCCATCACCTGAGACAGGTGAGAGGAGACAATGCATTCCCAATGGAATGCCAGCCAATGCATATATATTGGGCTGATCTTAGATTTCTAGAAGAGAAAATAACTTAATAACTGTTGTGCAGATCCTGTGGGGTGGAAATTCACGATAAAATATTCTGTGGGTTTTATGGTTTCTGAAATATTTCGCAGGCATGTGTTGTTTTCCTCCTCGCTGCTCTATTTTTGTGCCGTCAAGTAGGCTTTGTCAGCCTGCTGATAATGATGGCAGTTGTAGGCAGTCAGTGTGTTTAGTGGCAGATACTCAGCACCTGTGAGGGTGACAGTGGGAAGTAGGAGCCAATTATCGCCTGAAACAAAGCATTTCATTGTTAAAAATC